GGGCCCAGGCCGTGTGCGCTTCGGCCGCCGAGCCTTGCTGCCTGTGCTCCGGTGGGCGTTGGGGCTTCCCTGGGTAGGGAGCAGAGGAGGTAAGAGAGAGTGGGAACTCCAGGCCTGGGAGGTGTGGGGTCTTCCTCTCAGCCCTCGACTGGGGTTATACACTTAGGTTTGCTCTCCTCGAGCGCGCCGCCCCTGCTCCTTATGTCTGGAGATAAAAATCCAAGTTACTGTGCTGGCCAAGGCCAAGTGCAGGGAGCCTGCCTCCTCTTGGATGGCAGTAACGTTCCAGGCTGTGGCAGGGATTGAAGGGTCGTGGGGAACACCACTGTCACCTACCCCAGCCCCGGTGAGCACCTGGCCCCCAAGATGAGCAAAGAGCAAGAGAAACGGCACCAGGACGAAGGGAATCTGGTTTCTTGCTCCTACATTGTGCTGTGGCCAAGACATCCCCACTTGCCTGCTTCTGCCCAGTCATTAACCCACGTGAGTGGATGAGCAAGTCTGCTAAGGGCACGGCTCTCTGACTCAAGTACCAGGTTTCTGGGCATGTGGAGCTTGAAGTCAGTCTAGTGACAGGTGAAAGACCCATGTGAAAAAGCCAACAAGAAGAGAGTGTTTTCCAATATTGGGTAAATGCTGAATCCACATACAGCCTGCACTAGTGTGGTCAGAGGAGTTATTTTGGATTGGATCCTGGAAGGCCCATTAAGGAGGTGGCATTATGAGGTCACAGCCAGATGGCAAGCTGGTGGTAACTATGTACATGTAAACGTCCAGTGGAGCTGTCTTGGGCAGAGTGCACACAGACCTGGGTGAGCGCCTGAACAGGGAGGGCAAGAAACAGAAGCCACCCACCGAGGGGCAAAGACAGGGAGCTCCTGCTCTGTCCCTCACCTGTGGTGAGAGGAGCCCCCATGACTGCTGGTGGGAGGGAGGGAGGGAAGACTGTGAGGCCGAGGACCTAGCGTGGTGCCCAGTTATCTGAATCCCCGCCAGCCTGCCGTTGGAGAAGAGCAGAGCAGAGAGGGAAGAAGGGGAGAAAGAAGGGGCTGAGAGGGATAGGGAGGCCAGTAGGACCTCTGTACAGAAGGACTGGTAGAGCAAGAACTCGGAACTCGTCTCCGGACCAAGGAGAAAGGAGTTTGGGGGCATTTAAATTATAAGGATGAAGTGGAAGCAGTGTGCTCTTGGCCCAGATATAAACTGCTGGTTGCAGCAGAAGAGTGGGCCATGAGGCTGACTCTAGTAGGAGAACTTAACAGAGACTAAGAGGGTCAGGCCGGCCACGTGTGGTTCCGTGGGTGGACACGGAGCTGTGAGGACACATAAGCAGCACACACGTGTGCCCCCTGCCCAGCAGCCGCATATGTGCTTACCAGTAGACCACTGATACAACAGCGGAAGCAGAGCAGCGGCTCAGTGCAGACCCCAGGAGCAAACACCTAGGGGAAGGGGCTGTCTGGGTTGGAAAACCTCCAGGTAGGTGCTGAGCAGCCCCGAGCAAGCTCCTGCCCTCTTGTTCACCCTGAGCCACAGCGTGCAAACAAGTGTGGTCCGGCGTGAGTAGGATTCGCCCGTATCACTGGGGGTTTCTGGGTTGACATTTAACACTCCCCTGGCCAAGCGCTGAGGGCAGAAATAATAGATCGCTGTGATAGAGGTGAGGGCGTTAGGAGGTGATTCAGAGTAAAGTCATTGGGGTAGAGCCCACAATGAGAGGGAGAGAGGAAATACAGAGGCCTGTGCCCTGCCTCTCGTCATGGTGACCCCCCTCCCCATGCTCCCTCACGGGTGAGTGTGACTTAAGAAGGCCACCACCAGACTGGGGCCTCTGTCCCCGGACAAGCACCATAGGCCAAAATAAACCTCTTTGTAAATTACTCAGACTTGGGTATTTCACTCTAGTAATGAAAGATGGACGGATACACATAAGTATACTTTCTGTCCACCCACATATTAAATAATTGCCCTTGTATCTTTTCTAAATTTGCTTCCATTTATCAGTATCTAAGATTATCATATTTGTGTTTGATTTAGTGGCTTAATGGTACCCTGTAAACAAGACCAAGGACGAAGCGTCCGATCAGAAAGCCTAGAAGTGTTCCTGCCTTATGTTTCTTAGTCCTTATTCATGAAGTAATTAAGTGTTGAATAAATGTACAAAAAGCCTTATGTTCCAGCCCAGTGTTAGACACAACTGCATTTTCAGTGCATTTGAATATGAAAGTTTTGTTTTGTTTACCATTGTGAAAGTCTTTGTTCTTACCAAGTCATAATACTCCTTGAAATTTAAGTCATATGGCAACAACAGCAACAACAAAACATTTTGATGGTGCTTAAAGCAAAAGGTCTTGCTAGATAAACATACAAGATGAGTATTGGGCCATGAAACAGAAGACATGAGAATTTATCACTGTGCTATTCAACAGAAGTTCTCACTTCCAAAATGACAATTTCTCCCTTCTGCTGCAGGAGGAGATTTCTGTTTTGATGGGAGCCATACCGTGTCAAATATTTGTGTTTGAAGATAAAGTGCAGGGGCTCTTTTCATGCCTTTCATAAAGGACGAAGTAAACTCAGTATCACATTCATAACTCTGATCCAATTAAATCCAGTGATAGAGAACTGCCAGTCTGGGAAATTGATTTCAATGGTTTTATAATCCAATGGAGAGTGTTGCTCTGATTTCTAATAGGGGGTCTTGAAATGTCATGAACGAGAGGGCACATAGCAGATGTCACTGAGGGATGAGTAACCACAGCATCAAGTAGCACAGATCACACCTGAAGAACATCACATGTCCTGTGTCCCACTTGAAAGGATCTTCTCAGAGCCTGAAGTCCCTGAGAGTTTCGGTGCTCTGCAGACCCAGCACCAAGACAGGGACATCCACAGGAATAGCCTGGAACCTGCGGTGGCTTTGAGTCCCAGCCTGGCATGTGACATTACAAACCCAGTCGCTTTCCAGCCCTCAAATCTGCCACTGGTTTCCCTGCTTCTGCACTTTTGATTTCTGCATTACTTCGTTTGCTATTCCTATGCCAAACATAACTGACGTTACTTTATAAAGAAATCAATTTAGTGTACTCTGTCTTAGAGGTTGAAAGGCAAGACAGAGTGGACCCATGGAGCAGGGCTCTGGTGAGGGCCACCCCACGATTGGATCACATTATGTAAATGGTATAGCAATGTCAGGAGAACATGAGGAAAAGAGTTATGGGGAGACAGGAAGCAAGACAGTAGTGAGGGGCTGGTGTTGCTCTTTTATAAGAACCCTCTTGTGAGAACCAACGGGGCACCTATAAGAACCACCTTCATCCCTTCCAGGGCAACTCCACAATGACCTAATGACCACAGTGACCACACCCCTGACTCTCCACAATTCCGCCATCCCTAACACTGCCACCCAGGACCAAATTTCCAACGTGTGAACCCTACAGGGACAGGCCATGTGCAAAGCAAGGACTTGGTTCTCCCTTTGCCTGGTCCTCTTCTCAGTGTACAAGTGAGACACAGTATACGAATCAAGTCCTTCCTCCTTCCAAGGGAGCTGCTTTCTGAAAATGATGGAGAGCAACTCAAGGCCTCTGTCTGAGCTTCTGTATAAATTCTTCTTGCTGGGGCTGTAGTACCTAGCAATGAGATGATGCTCTGGTGAAGGTTATTATGGCTGTAATCAAGTGAGCAGGGCACAGGCCGAGGTTCACAGCACATGGATTGGTGGCCCTGCCTGTCTTCTCACCCTGTTCTCAAAGTGTGACATTATTGAGGGCCATTTTAAAATTTACTTTATTATTTTTTATGTATAAGAAATGCCAAGGAGTAGAGCAATTGTGGAATATGAATCACCAAAACGACAATAATAGTCGCCTTTTTACTTGGAAACGTCCTCTGTGCAAGGGACTTCAGCCAGTAAATGCATCACCTGACCTGCAAGTGACAGAGCCCAGCTTAAGCCCTGGGTCTGTCCCTTCCCTAAGGACCAGCTAGGCCCAGCTGGGCCTCCCACAAGGCTGGGAGACTTCACCCCTGCAGAGTGGCTTTCTTGTTGAAGTCATATACCTGAGATGCCTCCTCCATCCACACACTCAGAGACACTTTCTGCACTGACAGAGAATCCCATGCAAACCGCTTCTGATGACTGATCTCCCCCCAGAATGC